ACCCCAAAACCCCAAAACCCCCAAAACCCCAAAACCCCAAAACCCCAAAACCCCGTTTAAGTTTATATTTGTGAAAATAGAAATAATAATATTAAAAGAATTACGTACATATGGCCCGATTGCAAGTACTAACAATTTTAGTTCTCTTGGTAGCACTGAGCTACCAAAGAGTAGACAATACAAATAGTGACAGAGTCCGATTTACTCCAGCAGACCTGGAAGGATTCTTTGTAAATTTTGCAAAGGCTGCCAAAATCAGCCTTGTCTCTAAATCAACCATGCCTTGCACAAAGAGCGTCAAGCAATTTATTCTTGACGGAGCAGATGCAATTGATGAGTTATTAAATGACCAAACTTGGACCGGCACAATCAGTGTTGCAGAAGTCCTTGGTGGAACTTCTTTTATTGCCCGGAACTGCACCTACTCAGTAGACGAATTATCTGGTCAATTATATAATTACTTGCAAGCGTTTCCAACTTTCGAATCTTGGACTAGTATGGTTAGAGAGAATGTTGCCAGAAATATGGTTAAGCTTTCTTTACTTTCAATGCAAATCGTAGATGAAATTAAGATGACAAACCCAGACTTCCCTCTTCTCGGATCAATGGTAGGAGAACTAGTATATTACACTCTTGAAAGAGAAACCGCTGAACATGTACTAAGATACTTAAGACAAGACCCCTTAGCTCCCTCCCCTCTCAACAAATACTTATGGGCTACAATGGAGTCAGCTTTTGAATTTTTAAAGAACTCAAAGGTCTTAACAGAAGAGAAGTTAATAAACTGCCATAATAATGTTGCAAACATGCTAGTTTTCCAAAGCGATGCATTCCATAACTTCGCAGCATCAGTCCCAGATGAAGGCATATACCTTGCCCTTGACAGCTTTGTATTTTTGAAATCTGTACTCTTGGAGTGTTATGATGCTGGCCACCAGATTGGAACAAATTTTGACAAAGTATATAAGAAAATCGGTGAAAATCCAGACCTTGTCAGAACTAACTTCGAAAGTGAATTGTTCTACACTCTCTCTGATTCTATCGCCACTTATTCCCAGATCTACTACAGAGATATTGTAGGAATGAACAGAATTTTAGGTGACCTTGTCTACAGAACCCTTGTCAAAGAGCAAGAGGTGGAAAATTAACCAGATGGCAACATCGTAAAATAAAATAATATTTCCTCAACAGTAGTTATTCTCATAGGGGTTTTGGGGTTTTGGGGTTTTGGGGTTTTGGGG